GATCACAACTCAACCAAAAAATTTATAGTTGTATCACAACTTTGATATTATTATTTATGTTCCTATTAGTTATAGAAAACTATTCTTTCCTGTTTCTAGTGATAATAGAAAATTTCCTTTTAAACTTATCTTTTTCATAACCAACTTGTTATAGATATCTTGGGTTTTAAGCTAATGTTGAAGCTTATCCAACAAATACGTGTCATCTCTATTTCTATTCCTTTGCTTATCATAACCAATGAATCGTAGTAGCCTCCATATTTTCCATGTACTTCAATTCTGTATCATCTCCATTAGTGCACATTGCCTTCAAATTCGTGAAGTAAAGTTCCCGTGAATATTGTTGTTGCAAACATGTTTAATCTATTAAAACTCTTGAATGGTCCATCTCTTTATATCTTACTTTTTTTGTTTTTTTTGCTCAATACTTCCTTTTATTTATCTTTTGTTCTCCTCTTGAAAGTAATATCGTTTAGTTTAAATTGGACTTTAACACCATTTGTTATAGGCTCTAACATTAGTTATTTTTTGCTAACTCTTTTTTTTATTGAAATAAACTTCGGCATAATATAAGCATAACGCATACCAAGTATTATTTCAAATGTGAAAAAACAAACAGCAAAATTGTAAATTGATTTGTTGATCGGCCATTACATACCTGGTACTATAGGCTCTAACAATTTTTTTCTTCGCCATTAGTAAGAAAATGTATTGCCGTGTGTGTCTATCGATAATGTAAAGCAAAAAAAATCCAATAAAATTTATGTTTATTTTATATCCATTGTTATTCAATTGTTTGTTTACGCGGCCAGTGAACTTCATGCTTACATGCATCACGTTATGGTAAGTTTAAAATGTTACATTTAATTGGTTTAAAATTTTAAAATATGTAATAATGAGTTTATGTTATAAAATTAATAAAAATACATATGTAGAAAATTTCCATCATGACATATATTATAACTGAAATATTATGATTGGTTAAATTAAATAATGTGTCCATTAAATTGCTCGACATAATTTTTTTTTATCTAGTGTATTCTCAATTAATATTATATATGATATCAGTAATTAGAGTCTAATTTAATATTTATCATGAAATCTAGGATAGAGAATTTAAACTAGTGTTGAACTACCGACTTCGCTTTTAACCTAAAAAGAGAGAAAAATAAAAAAATCTAATTCTATATGGTACGAGTTTATTAAAGGAAAATTATGTTGAATAACCATAAAAAAAAACTATAATTAAAATTCTAGATCTAATGGTTGATGGTTTACCACATATAGCAATTTTAGCTATTTTTTAATTATATATATATATATTTTGGTTAATTAGCAAATTGACTCTTTATTAAAAAGAGTGATACATCATGGGCTTTGTTAAAAAGAGTCATATATTTTCTAAGGCCCCAATGAACGTACTTCCCCGTCCACGAAAAAGGTTAAATCAATTGTATGTCTTTGTTGGTTCGTCCGTGGTTGTTTACGTTTGATACCAATCACACAAATTTCCAAGCTTTGTATCTTTCGTTTCAAAGGTTTGCAGTTGCTAATGAAATGATTGTGGCAAGAATATGTCTTTTT